AAAATTACAAAGTAATAAACTAATTTTTCACGTACACACACATATATATGGTGAAAACACACATATTTTGCTTATATACTACCTTATTTCCTTGACATAAAAGTTAGTTAATTAAGTTGAATAGATTAAAAAAATCAGTTAAGTTAGTTATTTTTAATAAATACTGTTATCTTTCCTAAAATACCTTAGCTAATCATATGTCATTTGATGATATGTTTAACAAGTACAACCACTACAAAAATTACCTTAAAAAAATAGATAAATATGAAAGAAGAAATAGATTTGGGTCTTATATTTATAATCAAATTAAAAAATAAAATAGGTCTTATATTAAAAAACAGATATAGTATATATAAACTATTACTCTGTCTGTTGACCCATTCGGACTAATTGTCGACTTCTGTGTAAGCCAAATGTAAGATTGGCAAAACCATTTTGCTCGCCACAATTTCTCTCAATTTTTAATTTAAATATTCTAATTTTACTTTGTTACTACCGTTAACTTCTGTAACTTTACTCTGCTAGTACTATTGGCCCCTATGCAATAGCTAATTATATTAATAAATTAAAATTATAGTGTTTAATTAGAAGAAAAAAATACCCAAATACTAAATTAAAAATTGAGAAAAAAATATAAGAACTTGCAAAAATGATTTTCTCCATAAAATTCGCAGAATACAACTTAGCCAAACCGCAAAGCTTAGAAGTAAAATTACACATTCACCCTATTAAAATTGATGACATCTTTGGCCCAAGCCAAAACAACAACAACAATAATAATTTTGATTGTTAATTTTAGAAATATAAAATTAATTTAATAACATTAAAAAATTAGTTAAGTTAATTATTTTTAATAAATAAATATTATTTTTATTAATTATTTACATTGAACTATTTTTTAATAAAAATTTCTGAAACATATGTAATCATTATAAACATTATTTAGACATAAAATGAATAAATACAAATTGAGAAATGAGAATTAAATCTCAAACCACTGAGAAGAAGTACTAATAAATAAAAATTGATTGGAAGAGAAGTTTGGAGAGGGTGGGGATTGGTTTTCGGTGTTATTCCCTATACCTAGGGTTATACAACGAACACATCGAACCAGACCAGAACCCAATCCGAAGTCTGGTCTGATTTTTGATCAAGTTGGGTTTAGCAATCTGTGGTTTGGTCTAGTCTAGTAGTGACCTAAGGTCGAGTTGGATTGGTCTCAATCCACCAGACTAGTGGACTGGTCTAGGCATTTTAGGTTTCCAATTTTCTTTTTTCTTTTTTAATTTTTTCATTATAAGAAGCAAGATTTTAACATGATAAATATAATTTAAGACAATAAAAAATACCTATAATCATATAAAAGTCATTCGAAAATATTAAGACTTCATCATAAATACATAAAAATCTCTAAAAACATTAAAAAAAAATTAAAGGTAACATCTAAATTACAAATTATTGAAAAATAAAAAATTCACCTAGACCGGACCGGACCGAACCAGTCCAAGTGGTCTGATCACTTGGTTCGAAACCTAGTCCAACTCGACCAACTAGTGTGGTCCAGTCTAGTTTAATTTCATTATATAGTTTATTTAGATAAGACTGGACTGGACCAAATCATTTCGAGTTGGACCGGATTGGGCCAGACCACCGAGTTTTTCCACATTCTTACCTATGACTTCAAACACTGTCAGACTATATATGGTGCAGATCGAAAGCACTTAGAGGCTATAATAATCTCAAAAAGCTTTTTATTTTTTTTACCACTTTAATTTCTTCTGATGATTGTGTTACGTGGGTACATCCGTTAGTAATGTCAACTCACATGTTATTTATTCATTCAGCATTACATCAATATTATTTAGAAAAATGTAATGACACAATAGAAAAACTACAAGGCAAAATTACAAGGTCACGAACTAATTTTTCACGTACATATACATATATTTATATATATATATGTGGTGAAAACACACGCATATTTTGCTTTTATACTACTACCTCATGTCCTTAGTATAAGAGTTGGTTGACTAATTTAAATGGATTAAGAAAATTTGTTAAGTTAATTATTTTTAATAAATAGATGTTATCTTTTCTAAAATACCTCAACTAATCAAGTGTTATTTGATGAAATTTTAACAACTAAACAAGTACAACCACTATAAACACTACCTTAAAAGTACAGATAACTATGAAAAATAAAATAGATTAGGATCTTATATTTATGATTAAATTAAAAAAGCAAACTAGGTTTTATATTAATAATCAGACATAGTATACATAAACTATTACTTTGTCTATTGACCCATTCGGACTAATTGTCGACTTCTATGCAAGCCAAGTGTAAGATTGGGAAAACCATTTTGCTTGCTACAATTTCTTTCAATTTTTAATTTAATATCTATAAGTCCTTTTTTTTCTTAATTAAATATTCTAATTTTACTTGGTTACTACTGTTAACTTCTGTAACTTTACCCTGTTAGTACTGTTGGCCCCTATGCAGAAGCTAATTATGTTAATAGATTAAAATTATAGTGTTTAATTAGAAGAAAAAAAACCCAAATACTAAATTAATAATTGAAAAAAAGCATAAGTACCTGCAAAATGATTTTCCCTATAAAATTCACAGAACTCTGAGCTCTGAATTGGAATAAGCCCATCAACAATGTTGTGCTCACTCACCAAAGTGTGAGAGTATGATTTCCCTCTCAATAATATATTATGTACAATTATGTTGTTATTCATAAATAATTTGTATCCCAAAAATATATTAAGTTAACAATTTTTTTCACTTTTTGTCCTTATTAAAGGAAGGGTAGTGAAAAAAAAAGTTTTATATTTTCTCTCACTTATTTAAGTCAATAGTGTAAATACGGGAAAAAAAACTCATTAATTACCCTACAAGTGACGTATATTTAGAAACAAATTTTTCCTTCACAAATGACTTATAAATAGGAATAGAGTAGTAAATACTCCCATGATCCTTATAGGATATTTTCAGTATGTTTTACATAGACAAACAAAAAATCTTAAATTGCATTGACTCTTCTTTAAAATATAACATTTCAACTTTATCTCTATTTAATATATTCACATTTCAAAAATAATAATTATCTACATTATAATAAATGAAGGACAAAACAATTGAGTTGTTAATAAGGGTTGAACCCTGAAGGGCCAAGGCCTAAAAGTACTGGCTCTTTAAAGTCCGCATATTTTAAAATTATCATACTATTAAAATTAGCCAAGGCCTAATTTTTTTGAAATAACAAATAAAACAATAAAAATTTTGAAATTTTTTATTCAAATTATAAATATTAGTAAAATAAATTAATGATGTATATAAAAAAATAAAAACTAATAAATTACTACCTCCGGTCCTTAATATAAGACCCCGTTTGACTTTTAGTTTGGTCCTAATTATAAGACCCCAATTCATTTTGTCTCTCATATTTATGCATTTTTTTCCAAGATAATCCTTCTAATAATGATAGTTCTAACCAACACACTTAATTAGTAAGGATATTTTAGGAATGACAACACTTATTTGTTACAAATAACTAACTTAACTTACTTCCTTAATCTCCTCAAATTAGTCAACTGGGTCTTATAATTAGGACCAGAGGTAGTATTTTCTAAACTAAAAAAAACTCAAAACTAAATGAAACACGGAAGTAAAAGGATAAAAAGAAGTAATTAAAGATTAACATCATCAACATTATTATTATTTTCATCTTCATCACTATTATTAAGATGAATAACACTCCTTCAATCCTTAATATAAGATCTATTTAACTAATTTGATTAGATTTAAGAAGTTAGGTAAATTAGTTAATTATAAAAAACATGATATGTTTTTCTAAAACACCATAATCATCTTCTTTAATATCCTTTTTCCCTTTTCTACTTGATTAGAGTTGAGGGAGTATCTATAGGGGTAATTTAGAAAAAATTAAAAAATATAAGAAATATGTCTTATATTTAGGATCAAAATCAACTCAACAATTAGGTCTTATATTAAGGATTGGAGAAGTATTTGATTGTTCTTTACCATGAGTGGGCTCTTCTTCAATGATAAAAATATTAATGTTTTTGTCTCCATTGCTCTTATGTATAATAAAACTATATAGTATTTACGAGTACAAATAAGCGCCTAAACATTTGTTAGAATAAGATAATTTCTACGCTATTTTAAGACATGTGAACTAATAATAAAGAAGTACTATAATGATCGGATGGCTAAGAATATCGCTTCTTATCTTTGAAAAAATTAAAAATTGATTTTAATTGCTCTTGTGCTAGTTCAAAACATCTAATTTTCTTTAATTATCTGGTTTAACTATTAGTTCTTCTAAATAATTTTTTAGTTTAGACTTGTTCATAAAAAAATTAATCCATAATTATTTACATATTTTAATAAAAATAAAAAAACTAAGTGGGATTAAAAGGACAAATTTTGACCTGTTTTAACGGTTCTAATAAATAGTGCGAAGAGAATTTTTTTTTCTCTCTCACTCATATTTATAAATACAACCCTATAAACTGACCCATTCAGACTTATCCTTGGCTTCTGCGCAAACCCATGTGAGATTCACAGATTCCGACTAAGTCAGACCACAAAGCTTGGCAGAGCGCATAAGACAAAAGAAAGGCCGGGAAATGCATTGATGTACATAAAAAAATGGAAAAAACTGCATCAAGCACGATACTTACTTTTAAGCTTTGTTAATTAATCACTGATTATTGATTATTGAAATATGTTCAGTTTCTTCCAAAAAGAATTAATTTTATGTGTTCAAACTTCAAAGTTCAAATCCCCGCACCATTCAGGCCCAAAAAATAAAAATAAAAAATCCCTGCACCCTGAATAGATTCCCTCTCTAAGCTCGATAGTATTTTCCTTTCAAGTTTCAACTTAGAATGAGGGATTTGGTTTAGATAACTTTTGTATTCGTCAGATGTGTTGGCTCCACAATGGAGTTGACTGTTCTTTCTTTCTTTCTGGGAATTTTAATGCGGCTACAGCGATAACTGCCCAGAAATGTTTTCCAAAGTAAAAAGAAGGTAAGTTGCTTGAGAGAGACTCAATTCACTTTCAGTCACTCACGACAAGCTTACCGCTGTTGTTGTACTTCTTAAGCTTCCATTCATGGACAGGGAAGGAGAAGGCGACCCTGAAGAAATGTGCAGTGCTAGTACGCTCACCGTTAAGACTTCATCAAGCAAAAGCACTTGTGGTGCTGATTCGCATTTAACTTCTCCAAATCTCAAGAACTCCATGGAATCAACGCCTTATGATTCTCCCTGTCTTGTATCTCCATCTTCTTCAGCATTTGTTTCAGCCTTACAGTCTCCGCATATATCTCCGAGGGCCATCGGAGAAAATTTAAATCCCCCCAACTCCGGCGAGAGCCCTTGTTTACAAAAACCCACCACAACAACCTCCGCCGCCAGCACAACTACAGCAACAACCACCGACCACCGTCACCCATCCTTCGCCGCCGTTTTCGTACAGAGGTTCCCAGTCTGAAGACATTCCTAGCAGTTCCTACACACCGCCGTCGGATCCCTACGAGTTCTCCGATGACACTTCTGATACGAAGCTCAAATTTGTGACTTGTGTTCCCGTCCCTGACCCGATTCCTCCACGCATTTCATTCTCGTTCCCCGTACCTCGAACTTCGTTCGCAAAAAGCTCTTTCTCGGCGGCTTCAAATGCCAAACTTACCAGTTGTGACGTTTACATTGGTTTTCATGGGCACAATCCCAATTTGATACGCTTCTGTAAGTGGCTTAAATCGGAGCTTGAGCTTCAAGGGATTGACTGTTTTTCTGCGGATAGAGCAAAATACTCAGATAGTCAGAGCCATGAGATCGCAGATAGAGTCATTTGCTCAGTGACATTCGGTTTAGTTGTAGTCACTCCTTCAAGTTTTATAAACCATTGCAGCATGGAGGAGATTAGATTCTTCGTTCAAAAGAAGAACTTAATTCCACTCTTCTTTGAAGCTTCACCTACTGAGGTTATGGCTCTTGCAGACTGCAATTCAATCAACAAAGAGTGTACAGAGGCATTGGATGGAGTTATGCAATCTCATGAACTGAAGCTGGAGGCCATTGATGGTAACTGGGGACGTTGCATAATGAAAGCTGCGGGGATTCTTAGATCAAGACTTGGACGGAAGAGAGAAGGGTTCGAGAACAAACAAGGATTTGAGAGTTTACCTTTCCCCAGAAACGCATTCTTTGGTGGAAGAGAGAAGGAGATTATGGAGATTGAAAGTCTCTTCTTTGGTAACGGAAATTGTCCAGAGCAAGGTCATTCTACAGCAACCATCAAAGGAGAGGCCAGTGGGCAATCTGAAGGACTTGCTGATGAAGAAAGCGACCACGTGAATAGTAGAGGAGGGAGATTTATCTGTCTAGAGATGGACAAGAGCAGAGATTCAACTTTCGAATCTTGGGTTGATGTTGAACCACTCAAGGGAAAAAATTCTTTCAAGAGGAAACAAAAGAAGTCAAGAAGTGGTAACTATAAGAGCTTGAGTAGCACTGTGATTTGCATCAATGGGGTTTCTGGGATTGGAAAATCAGAGCTGGCACTGGAATTTGCTTACAGATTCTACCAGAGATACAAAATGGTCTTGTGGGTCGGTGGGGAAGCTCGGTATCTCAGGCAGAACATACTGAATCTGTCTCTTCATTTAGGTGTAGATGTTGGTGCTGATTCTGAGGTTGAAAGGGGCGGAACCCGTAGCTTTGAAGAGCAAGAAACCGAAGTTTTCAAGAGAATCAAGAGGGAGCTGTTCAGTGATATGCCTTATTTACTTATAATTGATAATCTTGAATCTGAAGAGGACTGGTGGGAAGGAAAGAATATGCATGACTTGATTCCCAGAAACACAGGAGGTACTCATGTGATTATTACCAGTAGGCTGTCAAAAGTGATGAACTATGATACAATTGAGCTTCCACCACTGCCACTATCTGATGCAATGATGTTGATCAGAGGAAGAAAAAAGAGAGAGTATCCATCTGGCGAGGTAGAATTCCTTAAAACATTTAACAAGAAACTGGGAAGATTGAGCTTTGGTCTATGGTTGATTGGTTCATTGTTATCTGAACTTGGAATAACCCCTTCTGCTCTTTTTGGCACGATAGACCAGATTCCACTTGAAGAAGATTCTCCTTCTTGTTACATGAGCATTGCAGAAGAACAGCACCTCAGGAACAACCCTTTCCTTAAGAAGATCCTTGAATTCAGCTTCGGGATTCTGGAGAAAAGCAGAAGAAAACAGAACTTCCTAGCCAAAAGAATGCTTCTTGTAAGTGGGTGGTTGGCCCCGTCTCCAATTTCAGCAAGTTTGTTAGCTAGTGCGGCTAACAGTATCATCCCTAGGACAAAAACTCTGGATGTTACATTCAATTGTTTGTCATCAAAAGCATGGAAAAGCGAAAATGATTCAGCAATGCTTCTGGTGAAATTGGGACTGGCGCGAATAGCCAGCAAAAACGACGAACACTGCATCATCCATTTTCATCCCATAACACAGGCATTCGCGAAAAAGAAAGGTGGTTTACAATCTGCCAAAGCTATTGTTCAAGGAGTGACTAGAAAAACAAGTAATCCCTATATAATAAACGCAGATCATTTCTGGGCATCAGCTTTTCTTGTGTTTGGGTTCAAATCTGAACCCCCACTAGTCCAACTTCAAGCAACAGACATGGTTTTGTACATCAAAAGAACAGCCCTACCACTTGCAATTCAAGCCTTCTCTGCCTTTTCCAGATGCAATTCTGCAATGGACCTCTTGAAGGTGTGTACAGATGCACTGGAAGAAGCTGAGAAATCATTTGTGTCTCAGATCCAAGATTGGTCATACGAATCGATTTGCTGGAAACGAAGGCTCCAACGAGGCAATAAAGTGGATGAATATGTGTGGCAAGAGGTCACCTTGCTTAAGGCAACATTACTGGAAACAAGAGCCAAGTTGCTAGCTAGAGGAGGACTTATTGACAGTGGAAAAGAGCTGTGTAGAACTTGTATAAGTATCAGAACTGTAATGCTGGGCCATAATCATGCTCACACCTTGGCTGCACAGGACACATTAGCGAGACTTGTGAGAATGAGGAGAAAGATTTGATGAAGAATTTTAAGAAAAATTTATAGAATCTTCTTTTCTCGTTCTCTGTACACCTTTTTTTTCCTCTGCCTCTCAATGTATCCCATAACTAGTTAACTATTTTCTTCCCATTTCAGCATTTAACTTAAAAAAAAAAAAAAAAGAAGAAGAGGGAGAGAGAAAAAATTTTTTTCACCAAAATCACAGTGATGAACAAACGATGAGGCGCGTGTTTGGAATTCCGTTTGGGAGAGTAAAAGTGCTTGCAAAATCGCACAACGTGCGTTGATGGGTCATCTGGAGATAATTCGTTGTTTGGATCAATGGTGGCTGAAGAGCTCATTTGCTTCCTAACGTGGCCAAACGCTAGAGCTATTTTTTCTTACTTCAATATTAGGGGTGTTTGGAAACTTCCAGAAGTATTTTTAAAAAATATTTTTTTACAAATCGAGATAAACTCCTTTATATATTTACTTCGTATACTATAAAATTATTTTTAAAATCATAGATTAGTTTTTATCTAAACACCTCTTTAGTTGCATTGAGTGGTTGACTTTTGGCATACCCTCTTCCTTTTCGCTACCAAGTCCTCTCTCCTCTCTCTCTCCCCCCTCCTCTTGTTGCATTGCGTGTGTATGTTGAATGGTTTTTTTTAAAATTTATTTTGTGTATTATAATTTATAAATGATCTTTTAGTAAATGAGATTTTTATTAGTTTTTTTGCTACCTTTGATTTTTAATTTTTTTTAATTATTTGTAATTTCTATATATTTATTTATTAAATATATCTAGTTAAATATGTTTAAGTATTTATAGAATTTTCTCAATAATATATTAACTCCTTTTATTTTTATAATTATAATATTTTAAAATTTATCAAATTATATATATTAAAGCTCATTTTTTTAAAATTATTTTACATCCAAACTTATTTTTTTATTTCTCATCCAAATAATTTCAATTTGTCAAACTGACTTTCTGTAAATATTAAGTCAAACATAAATCATATTACACTAACTGACTTTTAATTTAACTGACTTTTGCAAAAGCCAGATTGCAAAAAAGTTACTTCTGTCACTGCTAATCCAAACACACCCTAAAAGATTGGCACACTAGTGTCACATACGGTGAATTCCTTCAGTCTTCTTGTAACACTGCTACCACTATCGCATATGGACGTTTCATGCTTTACAAAATCCAGAGCATCGTCAACTGCTTTGATAAGTTAATACTATCTCAACTTCTTAATATAAGAGTTAGTTTGATGTTCAATTTGATTTTAAATATAAGATTCTAATTCATTTTGTCTCTCATATTTATCTATTTTTTTCAAAATAATCCTTGTAGTAGTTGCTCATATTAAAGATTTTATCAAATGGTAGTTTTAACTAATACATATTATTAGTAAGAGTATTATAAGAAAGACAATACATAAATATTATGAATAATTAACTTAACAAATTTTTTTAATTTATTTAAAATAGTTAATCAGCTCTTACATTACCACGGATAAGAGGGAGTATTATTGTTGCTCCTCAACATTGGTATTATGGTGCAGTTGGTTATCACGTCAATCTAACACACTGAAGGTTAAGGCGGGACAATACTGGGGAAAGAAGAAAAAATCACACATAGGTCGCAAACAATATAATATACTAATCTAAGGTCCCTTAAAATCTCAAAATGAATAGAAGGTTTCACGGGATCTGAGAGTAATATATTCTAAATAAGAAATTACATCATTGTTCCTGTCCCGATTAACAAGCTTATGGGTGTGAATTAACAAGTCAATGGGAAGCTATTGAAAAGTTATGAAGTATTAGTTGACAATTAAATTATCAGGATAATATAACCTCCACATAATATCAAATTATTACAAAAGAGTTATAAGAGAGTGTTATATAGCAATCTCTAAGCTGAAATCATGTGTCACTAAAATATGTACATTAGTATTAGATAAAATGATAGGTTTATATCATAATGTTGTTGAGGACACCCATTAACAAGTTGATGAGTACGGATTTACAAGTCAATGGGAAGTTATTGACAAGTTAGGGAGTGTCGGTTGACAACTAAACTTATGGGATAATATAACCTCCACATAAGATGGAATTAGGAAAAATTCTTATACTCTTTTGTTATAATTTAATCTTATATGGAGGTTATATTATCCCATAAGTTTAGTTGTCAACTGATACCTTTTGACTTATTAATAGCTTCTTATTGACTTGTTAATTTGTACCCATAAGCTTGTTAATGACTAACCTCAACAAAGTTATGATATAAATCCAGGGAACAAAAAGTCGGATCGAACCGACTAGTTCAAATGAAAAACCGGCTAGTGGTTTAGTTTGTTTTGGATGTTAAATCGGGGAGGGGGAATTGAACCGGTAGTAAACCGGTCAAACTGGAGTGAATCGGTGAAAAGTAGTAAAAACTGGTGTGAACTGGTTTGGATGATTATATTGTTTTTGGTCCTATCTTTTCTCATTCAACTCATAATATCTCAACCCCTATAAATTTAAATGAATTTTAATGATGATTTTGGTATCAATGATTATTAATTTTAGTTAATGATGAACCATAAATATTAAAATTCTCAATGTTATACTTCATTATTGTTACAATCAAACTATTGTTATATTTTCTTATATTTTGTTATTAGTAATTATTAATGTTGTTATATTTTTTTATTTTTAATTAAATTATATTCTTTTAATATGACCGGTTGGATCCCGAGTTAACCCTGGTCCGACCAACTAACCCTTGAGCCACTATCTTAACCAGTTTAGTGTTCGGTCCTTTTTTTGGTTTCTTGTATAAATCCATCATTTTATCTAATATTAATGTACATGTTTTGGTCACACATGATTTTAGCTTAAAGATTGTTATATAATACTCTTTTATTATATTTTGATCTTATTTGGAGGGTGTATTATCCAATGAATTTAGGGCCTGTTTGGGTAACATCCCAAACCATGGTTTGGGTAAAAAGGTTGCCAAACAGGGAGTAAAATTAACAAGTCATGGTTTTGGGTCAAAACCATGGTTTCAAAAAAAGTGAATCCATTCTGCTTCTAGTTCAAATTGAAGAGTATGATTGTACTTGTCAGAAACTCAGAGTAGATCTTAATCATAATATAACTTTAACACCCCTCAATTATTTTTTTATAAACATATTTAATCTTATATTTTATAAATATATATACACATATTAATTATTTATTAATTACATTATCTTATATGTTATTAATTATGTTGGTAAAAAATATATTATTAACACTTTTATTCCTTCAAATTAAAACATATTATAAAATCTATCTTTTATGTAATTATCATATTAATTTATGCTTTTTTTAGTAATTAGTACATATAAAAAGTGTTTCTAATAACAACTATCCAAACATTCTCACTTTATCAGAATCACTTTTTTACAAAATCTATTCTCCCAAGAATCTATTATCCAGAAACTATTTTCCAAATCATGGTTTGGTTTTATCCAAACACCCTTAGTTGTCAATTGACACCCTTTGATTTGTCAACAACTTTCCATTGACTTGTCAGGGTGTGTTTGGAATGGTATTGGACAAAACTGACTTTTAGTCCAACTGACTTTTGTAGCTAAAGTTAGAGTAAAAGTCAGTTAGTATAATGTGATTTATGTTTGGAGAGGTGCTTATAAAAAAGTCAGTTAAAAAAGTTAAAAGTTGTTTGGATGATTAATAGAAAAGTTAGGTTAGTTGTAAAATGATTGAAAAGGATATGGACTTTATTGAATAGTAATATTTGAAATTTTATGTTTTTAATATGATAATAGTTTTAAAAAATACATAAAATTATTATGATAAAATATAAATAGTTCATTTGTGAAATTATAAAATAAAAATATTTGTTACGGAGAAAAATTTGAAAACACATTGTAGATAATTAATTAAATATACATAATGGACAAATATGAATATAAATTAAAATTCATTTGGTCTCTAATTAAAGTAAATGAAATCACATAACTAATTAGATCGTAAGCTTTGCACAATTTTTTCATAAGTCAGTTAAAAAAGTTGATCCAGATTGTGTTGGAAAAGTCAGTTAGAAAAGTTACTTTTTCCCATAAGTCAATTAGAAAAGAAGCCCCATCCAAACAATCTTCTTAGTCACAATAAGCCAGAAAAGTCAGTTGCACACTTTCCCATATGCTATTTTCATCTTCAACGGAGATCCAAATATAGCCTTAATCTACGTCTATGAGCTTATCAATCAGAACAGGGACAATAATATAATTTCTTATTTAGAATATATTACTTTCAGGTCCCATGAGACCTCCAATTCATTTTGAGATTTTAAGGATCTTAGGTTAATAAATTATATTGCTTGGCACCTATGTGTAATTTTCCCGGCAAAGAATCAGTGTTCCATGGGTCCTGACCCTTGCCATGTTATTTCTAATGAAAAATGTCTTCTTTTTCTTTTGTGGAATTTGAAAATCCCTTGGATGTTAAAGATTTCCCCTCAATTATGTACGAGTTTAATATCTACAGATGAGAATTTGTGCAAGAAAGTGAAGTACGTCCTTTATAAATATTGTTCATCTAAAGTTGAATTTAATAAGAACATAATTTTTACTGCGTGCAAATGCATCTGGTTCAGTTCTCATTCAGGAATCGATCATAACATTATATTTGAAGTTAGGTTTGGTGAAATTATGTTGAGAAGGCACTTGGATTGAAGGTTGGTTATTATCAAACTTGAAACAGAACATACTTCTTTTTTTTTTTTTTTTTCCCAACGAAATAGAACATAGTTACAAATCATTTTTAAACATTAGCCAGTTAATTAAAAATGTAATTCATGTATACTTGTTTAATATAGAGAATACAATTATAATCGCATTATCCTCTTCTACTAGCATCAGGCTTCGTGCAACCGCATTTACAAACTGCAAAAACTTACCCCCCATCAAACATCTCCAGTCCTGAGCTGCTCTCCATTTTCCTCTTGATATACAGACTACATGCATTAACTACATTAAGCCTCAAGCAACATATTACATGCTCCAGATGCTACGGCACATAATGCTTGATTGGCTGGAACATCGAGCAAGAATATCATATAGCTAGCTATTAACACAAAAATGATTTATCGATTCAAGCTAACATTAATGTTTTGTTTTTTTACTAACGATTAACACAAGCATTTAAACATTAGGAACATTTATCCGAAAGTGTAAATGGCAAAACGATGACAAAATCGGTTGTGATAAGGACATTCTCAAACAGCTTTAGCTGTTTCACGAACCAGAGAAAACTTAGCCAACAGACCACAGAGCTGAAGATAAGAACCAACTCCATCACAAATTCTCATGTGGGCAAACCCAGTTTCCTGCAAATAGAGCAATGACTGTCGGATGATTCTTTTCAAATTTATACACGAAAAAGAAATCAATAGGCCAATTGATGACGTCTACCTTCATGAATTCCAGTTTCAGATACTCAGCCATATCATAATTCTTTATTATACGAAAAAGTGTTGTGATTATATCAGTGGGCGAGTATCCCAAATCGTAAAGTTGTTTGAGGCCCATGCAAGCCTCATCAAAGTTTCCTTCAATCACATTATGCACCATATTCTTCACATGCAATGGATGCGGCTGATCACAAACCTGCAACCAACCACAGCTACCAATTAATTCCAAGGTATAATTACTCTCACAGATCCCATGTCATTGCTGATTCTAACCTTGAATACATTTTCTTGGTTAACAAATCGGAACCCACTGTGTGTTGCCTGCAAGTTATTCAACGCCTGCCTCATGTCACCATCGGCTGTGAAAATAATGGCTTCAATGCCTTCAGGAACATAGGGCACCTGCAACAATAGCCCAGTTCAGTCATGCATTTCCTCCAATAGTAAAAATAAGAGGCCACTAATAACCTCTCATAATACCGTAGATACTTACCAATATAATTGTGACAAATAGGGTATTCCTAGCCAGTTTATCTCAAAATGGACAGAAACATTAATAAAACTTGTCTATGATATTAAACAACAATGTCAGACCAAAGAATTCACGCACAAAATAATGCTTTTTTTTTTTCTGCAGACCAAGTCAGATAAATTCAGCAACAGCAAAAATTCATGGCAATACCATATCATCTAACAGGAACACACAAACCAGTAGGTCATGTAATCCAGAAGAAAGTAGATTAAGATATAAACTGGCATGGATTTAAAACTACACTATATCTCATACTCAAGCTTTTACTTCAAATTGGCAGTACTGATCAGAAAATACATTCTGCTAACCACTTCAAAGGAAGAAACTTATACCAAAAAAATTCTAAAGGGCCCAATAAACATGCTAAAGATCACCAGAAAAAAAAAAGGAATTTTAAAGCGTTTTTACAGAGATCAGATGATTTAAAATTCCACATAAAGCATTAAACTATGATGTTTGTCACCATGAGGGAAATTAATGTGTTCAAATATCAATTAAAACTTCTATAAAATTTCAAAACTTAGGACAATGACAAGAAACAGGTAAGTATAACATATATATGCATATCGCATCTTCTATGAACATGGAATTCAAATCCAAGCAATGCATACATTGCTCGTCAGGAAACAATTATTTCAGCATTTCTAGAAGGCAACTTGATAAAAGGGGAATTATACTTCTTGAATGCCTTCGGGCCTTCACTTTAGTGGCATAGTGTGGCTGGTAAAACTAAGCTAAAAGAAGACCAACATGAGATGTATGGAAGTAATAAAGGATGATAATAATGCAAAATGATTAGAAGATAATATGGCATAACTTAGAAAATTGGTAAAGCAAGATTTGAGTGGAGAATGAGAAAGGGTTTAAATAATTGCCATGTAACTGATAAAGGAAAGACAAGGGAGGGAGGTGAACGCAGAGATTGAAAAGAATAAATAAATGTAAACAAGATGGGCCCTGAAACTTCGGCAACAATACTGAATGTAAATAACCAATATAGAAACATATTTAATTAAGGACATTTTCAAGCACAAGCTGACAGAAAATAAGAGGGGCTAGATCTACACCCCTTAACATAGTTCCACAAAGAAGCTTACAATGATGCAACACAGAAATTGTGTACCTTTTCAGCTTCAACCACTACCATGAGACGACCAAGTATTTCTTGATCAGATAATCGAGAAAAGCGCACAATAGCACATCTACTCTGAATTGGTTCAATAATTTTAGATGACGTATTGCATGCAACAGCAAAACGAGTGGAATTTGAATATATTTCCATAGTCCTTCTCAGAGCTTGCTGAGCTCCTGATGTCATGCTGAATTAAACCCAACAGAGTATACCAATTCCCCCAATAGAAAAAGAAATGACAAAACGTGAGAATGTGAAAGTAAAACAACTCCTAACTTTTGAGTTTACAAGCACAAACATTTTATGGAAGCTCTTCAGTGAAAAACTTAAGCATTAAATTACAATCTCAAGTTACCTGTCAGCTTCATCCAGTATTACTATTTTGTGTCGCCCAGGAGGCAGTGTCACTTTCTTTTGTGCAAACATCTTGATCTTGTTCCTCACAACATCAATTCCTCTACAGTAAAAAAGAGACTAGATTAACGTTTTAGAGCCAAATGAAGCAAAATAACTGCCATTAATTAACAAATGACCAACCTATCATCTGACGCATTTAGCTCAAGAACAGCTTCTTTGAAATTTTGCCCCAGAAGTTCATGTGCAAGCGCTAGAACACTAGTTGTTTTTCCAGTTCCAGGAGGACCCTAAAATATCAGTGTACATAGTTTAATAACGGAGTGGCTCTTCAGGTAAATAGAAGAGGAAGGAAGCAACATAAACATGATACATTTCATTGAAATCAGCAAGACTGGCCGTTGATTCCAGCCATCCAACGCCATCCTCATCCTTTTAGTTATCTAATTTATGAGAAAATAAAGGATAACTTAACTAAGTGAGTTGATTTACTTCATTCCTGAACAAACACTCGCAGCAAGCTAGCTTTTGACACTCAAATCCGCGCAAGTTAGACCCAACCAAAGAATAGGGAGATAAATTATGGTTCGACGAGCAAAACACGCAAAGCGATCCGGTTAGTTCGAAGGAATTTTGCGAGTCAAACCTTTGAAACCCACAGAAAGAATAAATAACAAATCAAATTATAGGAGGCCGCGATTACACTTCAAAGGAACTCACCTAATGCGTAAGTAAAAGAAAAGCTTAAAAAGGGCTCGTACCGCTAATATCAAATTGGGCATATTGCCGTCGCGAGCAATAACCTGGAGCCTGGAGACTGCATCTTCATTGCCGACGATGTCGGCGACCTTGGCGGGTCGATACTTCTCAACCCAAGGGACGTCGTAGGCATTGCCACCACTGTTACTGCACGAAGAAGCAGCCATTGTTGTGCTGAGAGTGCGAGGGAAAATTTCCCACCGCGTAGCCCCTTCTATGATTTGGAGGGAAATTGCTGAGGTCGAGGGAAAAATAAATCGTAAATAAAAGAAGGAAAATTACAAATAAAGACACCCCAATATATGAAATTACAATTGGGGGTTATTTGGAAAATTGTAAATAAAAACCCGATCTCATATTGTAAATATGAAATCTTAGTGAAATATTTTAAATACCCCTTAGTCAAATTGTAATTTGGTCTACTGAAATTGTTATTCGTTAAAATGAACTTGTTATTTCCTATAATTAACTTGTCATTTAGCATACCCTTAACCAAGTTGTAATTTAATCTATTGAAATTGTCACTTGCTAAAGTGAACTTGTCATTTTCTATAGTCAACTTGTCATTTGGCTAAGGAGTATTTCAGACATTTCACCCACATTTCATATTTGCAATTTGGGAACGGGTCGTCTAAAGCTATTTTTTAAATTAAGAGTCCCAAATCACAATTTCACATATTAAGAGGTTTTATTTGCAATTGTCCCATAAAAGAACCAAGGCTAGGGAAGAAAAAAAACCTTGATGGCATTGGGTGTAACTGAGCTTTAAGTCTAGAAGTATCAGAACTAGTTTGAAATGAGTAGGATACTAGACTGTTTTTGGCAGAAGTTTCCTAAAAGGACAAGGGGGATTAAATTGTAAAGTAAGAGTTTTCTAAAATCATGAAACAGGCAAGTTAAAAATCCCAATGAAGTTTAGAGGGCTCGAGTATGGTAATTTGATATGATTAAGGGTCAAAAGTTGTGCCAAGAATCTCAGTGAGATGATTCCTCAGGCTAAACCTGAGTAGAGGCCTAATAGTAAATTCAACAAAATTTCGGGTTGAAAAGGGTAGTGATGGAAACTATGCCCAAAAATTCTAGAAAAATTCCAAAAAAAATTCAAAAAAATGGAAAATGAGATTTTGAGAGCCGTATGGGGTTTAAAATGATGAAAATACCCCTGAAGTAAATTGATGAAATTCCCAGGTTTTGGGCTAATTATGAATATTAGTTGAAATTGAATTATTTAAAATATAAGGAGACTTCAAGTAATTTGGGATAAATAGGAAATAAATACTTGAGGAATTATCATAGGTTTTAAAAATGATTTCGTCCCTAAAAAGCAAAGATGTTGGCTTTAACAGAATTTAAACCTGTTCATACACTATCTAGTGAAAGTCAAAGTAAATCGTCTATGAGTTGACTATTGACTTGAGAAAAATTAGAAAAATTTCCCATGATAAAAAGATAGTATTAGTACCTAGAGACAGATTCTCAGAATCATGGATCGGTATAAAGAATTCGGTCAAGTTACTTCAAAATAAATATTCTTAAATGTTTTAATGAAATAGCAAAGGGAAGAGCATCACTTCCTCTTGATGCATGTTATATAATGCCATATGAAGTTATTTGTAAAGAAAAAAGAGTACCAGAACATGTCCTATTAGGTGGACGAATAGCTAATAGTATAATTATGCACAAATTTTCTTTTTTTTTTCCTTCTTTATTTTAATGCAAATTTGATGAAGGGACATGGATGGAATAATATATTTTGTTAAGAGTTAAGCTTGGAAAAATAGAATTATTTAATAAAAAATTTACTATTTTCACATTTGTGGAATAGGTGGTATATGATGTGTCTCTTGAGGTGGCATTTACATTGAATGTTTAGGACACTTAAATGGGTTTGTGTGACAAAATCATAGGGGAATTAGAGTAAAATGTTGACAAGTGTGCATGGTAACAAGTAAATGGTAAGTTAAAGAATTATCACAAGGTAAATTTGAACCATTCTATAAATACCCCCTCCTATTAGGCCAAAGTTTCGGCCAACATGAAGAGAAAAGGGAGATGAGAGTTTAACCAGGTAAGGAAGAAGGAGGAGGAGGAGAAGGTCAAGCCAAACCTAGGTAAAATTAAGTCCTAAATTGAGGTAAGAGCATGATTTTCCTTCTAGTTCATGATGCTTTGTGAATTGTTAGTTTTAGCGATGGTTTTGATGGATTTTGAAAGATTGAAAGCGTAAGGGGAAGTGCTATTCAATTACGGTTAAGGCTTGGAAAAAGATTGATTGATGCTAGAATTATGTTTAAAGGATAGAAGGAACAAGAATCAAGTGGTTTTGTGGTGGAAATTGGTTGAAATTAACTGCCCCTAACTCTTTATAATTTTTGGTCATAGCTAGGGTATGAGCTAGGATTGGATTTTAATGATTTTGATGCTTCCAATATGTTTAAAATGCAAAATTGTGTAGGATACAAGTGAGGAAAAAGGTTTGTAATCACTTAAATTGAAAATAAAATTTGAACCCCAAACCCTAAGCAATTTGGCCAAGCTGGTTTCAGTAGAAAGGAGATTGATTTTGATAATTTTGAGTTTGAAAATGTATCCTACATGCAAAATTATAGGGAAAATAGCATGTGGAATTAATTTTAGAAAGATTAGAAATCAAGCTCAAAAGTTAGAAGTCATTTCAAAGAGAGTAAAGTATTGATATTGATGGTGATCATGGCTCTAATAAACAAATGACAATAATGTGTTAATATATTTATGGTTATGAGACATCAAGAAAGATGAATGGCAAGGTTGAGCAAGCAACCTAAATAGTTGGAGGCAAAGGGAGTAAGGAGAAAGCTTAAAGACATAAGGTAATGAATTTGCCCTTATTATGCGCTTGAGTGTTGATATTTCTTGATGATGATTTAGAATATGAAAGATTGAATGTTACTCTTTTTTTTGTATGTTCGATGGCCATGTATGAATGAAATATTGAGCATTAAAGCATGTCACTTTCTAAACATGAAAGCGTGAGACCAAGTATGTCATCCACTTAGCATTTGTTTTGCATACATGTAGGTAATGTTTACTAATGAGATTCTTTTGAATCTCACCCTCCCTTAACCAATCCCAATAGATGTTAATAAGCAAGCAAAATGATGTATGAAGTGGAAGCAAGGAAAAGAGGAAAAGAATAGAGGAAATGTATTATATTACTTTATGTAATTTCTATGTCAATATATGATATAAATATGCGATTAATGCTATATAATGATGAATGATGAGAATGGCATAAGCAATTGAGTATAATGATGCTTGAAAATGAATTATGCAATTTTGAAATGATGCATGCAAAGAAATAAATGAATATGAATTATTAATACAAGTAAGGGAGGTAAATTATCCCCTAAATAAGCTACGAACTTGTGATAAAATTAAAGTGAGGTAAACGATGAGATTAGCCTATGAAATTTAGTATTCTTAAATTACATATCCTAAACTTTAAAAACAAGTGGTATATCACTTAAAATGGATATGTGCGCTAAATGTTATGACTGTTCAAAGTTAGGGTAGAAAAACTGAAAAGTATAGTTTTTACCAAATGAAGAGTAAACTTCCACAAATGAACTATATGAATTGAGAGCGGTTAAGCCTAGATTTATATTTTTTCCTTATAGATAATTGAAATAGCTTTAAATGGAGACTTAGTGTCACACCTTACTATTATATTGACTTAGGTTCCTTTTAAAACCATTTTAGACCATATTAGATGGTCTTGGGCTCACTTTTTATTTTAAAAACGCTAAATTTCGGATTTTTATTGTTCATCGGGTAAAAATCCAGTTTTTTTGACCCAGCTTCAAAAATTTATAACTTATTCCACAAAAATCTAATTGGGGTGGTTCAAAATTCTACTTCAATCTCTTTAAGTCCTATTTCAAGGAAAAATAATCTCATTATCCAATTCCTTATGAAAAAGCGTCAGGTTTTTGAGAAATGCTACACTGTCCATTTGCCAAAAACCCTTTTTCCTAGATTCTGACCTTTAACTTTGAAAAATCATTATAAATCGTACACTGGGCCATTATTAACGTATTAGCTACCAAATTGAAGCTCAGGATGTTATCTTTCATCATGCCAAATTTCATGACTAAACGCATTTGAGAGCATAATCAAAAAGTCATGTGAACCAGACAGTGTTAGTGTGCTCACAGCACTGTTAGTATAATATGTACATAACCAAAATGAGTTCACGAATTTTTGTGGCTAAACCCCACAAATAAGCCTTCAATCTGCAGCTTTCCCTTGGAGGATTCCAGCCCTAAAATGTTTGGTTGCATTTGTGGAATGAGATTTCATTGAAATCCCAATAGCAAATTAACCAACTATATCACCAACAAGCATCATCAACATGCATAACTACATTAACTACTATTGGTGAACTAGCATGCTTATCATTTGGCAAACTCAATCATGCAAAGGCCAAAGCAAGAAAGTACAAAGAGCAGCCACATTATAATCAAGAAAGTTCAACTACATAATAGCAATTAATTCATACAATAATCAATAATGCCAAGTTAGTGTTAGTAGCTAAGTTTAACTTGCTACCTTGCTCTAAAAGCTTTAGCTTTCTTTCCTTCTCCTCTTTTCCTTCACAATATCAAACCCTAACAATGCAATCCATCAAAAGGGTAGCAAGAATCATTAACTAACTAAGAAAAAGCAAGAACATAAATCAAAAATGATTCTTGATCCATAAAGCTCCCTCCTTTGTTCACCATTTTTGGACTTGTTTCTCTTTAACCCTAAAAATCACTTCTTGACTTATTCCCACATGGTTTTCATGTAGATTCCAAATATGTGCTTAGATCTAGGAAAATAGAACTGCTTCTTTCAGCTACCCTTTGACCGAACCAAAGAGGGTTTTGACCCAAAAATTTACAACTTTGTTTTAAAGCTTCCAACACTTGTTCCTTTTGGTTTGTCCTACACCATTTCTCATTTTAAGCATCATGGAAGCCTTAAAACATTAAAAAAACTCATCCTAGGGTCCTGTCATTAGCTTGGCCTAAAAGAATACTCAAAGAAACAACCATGAAAAATGCTTTAAAACAACTTATAATCACTTGCAAACACTAGGAACTAGCTTGTGTTGTTGTGTCTTAACAAGTGTGATGAACAAAACTCCCTTTCCCTCTAAATAATCAGTTCGGCCAGCATCA